TAAAGGTTTAGCCAAACCAACGCGATCACACGCGATCTGCCGGCGTGCAGCGATGGCGATCAATGCATTTAAGTCTGGTCGCCATCGCTGCACGCCGGCTGATCGCGTGTGATCGCGTTGATTTGGCCGAACCTTAAGTCATATTATAGGTCTTACGCTTAATTGAGTCAGTTATGGGAGAGGCACGGAATTGGCATTATGACGTGACAGAGCAGACAAATCTATATCACATCTGAAATCTCGCTGACGTTATTTATTTATTTTTATTTATTTATTTATAATCTGCTTGAAGGCTTACAGAAAGTCCAACGCGCCAACAAGTTATAGATACAATACAGATAATTTATAATATCAATTTCAATATGTAAAATTGTCAAATAATTAAAACGATAAATTAAATAATAGTCAAATAACATTAAAATTAAATACATAAAATAATTAAGTCCAAAATAGAATGTCATACCTAAGACTACTAATAAGAATAAGAGATAAATACATTTATGTCCAGAGATCAATGTCAAAGTTATTCAAAGTTATTACTTACACAAAAATCTATGAATTAATACCATTATTGTACCTAAGCGGTCGGCAAATATGTCGATATCGTGCTGAGCAACTAAGTCCCCGATTAAACGTAATGCGCGGGTAGAAGGCGCTCTACGCGTTATACGTCAACATCAACACCCTGGTTCTGGAATGGAGGCCGCGTACCGGAAAACGCAGCGTGGGACGTCCACCTACAAGGTGGACTGACGGATGCAGGCTGCTACCAATCGATCAACGTGGAAAGCATTAGGGGAGGCCTATGTTCAGCAGTGGACGTCCTATGGCTGAAATGATGATGATGATGATGATGATAAACACCCTCCCGTGCCGCTCCCATACCTCAGGCACTGACTGAGTTATGCTAGACCTATAACTAAGAAGTAGATTTTCCAATATTCTACTAATATCACACTGATGATTAATGTGACAATATAATATTCAGGGACAATGTTGCTAAATACCAATTAATTAAATGTCAAAAGCTTAAAATGTGATGTGTTCGTAATTGCTATTAAGATCTACCCACGAGGAACTCGTTACTGAGTAAGTAACCAAAGCCTGACTTTGTATACAGAGTGTGGTTTTGTAAAACAACGCTCATCTCAGGCATGGTAGTATGGAGCCTAACGGTGTGTCGAGGAGAAGGTAGGAGCAGGTAGATGAGTGAAACTCAGAGTCCAGATTTGAAGTGATAATTTATTTACAAAATGCGCTATATTTATAGTAACACAGAAAGGAGACAGAAACATTGGCTGTCGCACACGACATAAACACATTAAAACTTTCAGCGAGTTCCCGCGCGCCCCCCATAGAGGAAGCGGGACAGCAATATCTGTCCTCTCGAGCGTAGGTTATATCCACGGAGCTCCCGTGTCCCGCGGTGGGTGTGCGAGCGAGACAGCCTCTCGGACCTCTCGGCCGGAGGTTATAAATATAAGCGGCCTCTTCGCGGCCTATCTCTTGACACATAGGTAGATAAGCCTATCTCGCAGTACGGCGGCTGACACGATGCGACTCCCACAGTAGTATACACGACACTGGTGAAAAAATACTTTAAGTTTTCATGGAAAAATCCATGAAATCAGGAAAATGGTATTATTACGCGGGCGAGCTATCGGACAGTCCCACCGCTCTCCCGGGGCGGCCGCATGTGCTCGGTGGTGTAGCGGGGTACGCGGGGGTAGTGCGGTAACATGCGCCGTCTCGAAAATTTCAGGAGACGTTTGAACAAGGTTTTTTACTATTAAAGTAAAAGTTACAATTATATTTATATTTTTCTTGTGATTGTGATTACTTTCATGTGTACTACCACCCCTAAGATGGGCGTTGTTTAACAAAACCGCACCCTGTATATAGATTTTCTATTGCAGATGGAAATTCGCCCCAAAATATCTTACTAGAAGCTAATTAATAAGGCCACAGCACGCAGGATACTTTTGGCATGAATTATTAGCGATCGGTGATTTACGCCTGTATTCACAAACGATGCTTGCTTAAGCGAAGCAGCAAATCGAACGCACAGCGTTGAATAGAGCTCTGTGATTGGTTCGTGTCTCACCCTGTGCGTCCACGCTCACTATGAGACCTCATAGTAAAGTTTGTGAATACGGGCGTGAGTTTCGAAGTCAGCGCATTAGTTGGCATCTCTCTATATCTCTATGTATACCACAGTACAGTCTTGGTAAATTAGTAGGGCAATATAGTTCAGCGTCAAAATACGATCCTAATGAATCAATTAGGGCGCTTATTGCGTGTCAATGTAATTAACGTCATGTAGGGATTCGCTCAACTCTTAATAATATTCTGTTAATGAAAATAGACTGTATTCCCAAGATGATACGATCTAGTAAAATTGTTTTGTGGGTCGCCTAAATACCTACTTTATGCAGTGAACTAAGTAGGTAGTCGCCGAGAAAATACTTTTTGACTGATGTTCATTTTGCCAATCAACCGAGATTCAAAAGTTTTTCTAAAGACACAACCGTCAGATGACGCAGGTTCGATTCCCGCACAATACAAACATTTATATTATCTGCATGAATTTGTTTGTCTGAAAATAATAATCATAATCATTAAATATTAAGGTAAAACATACATAATTTTAAAGATAATTAGAAAGAAGTATGTCGGAAACGGAAGTCAAAACACGGTCTTTTAACTTGATGCACGCCAGCGCCACCTAGTGGGGAGCTTAAAGAGGCGATCAGTTGATGTCGAGCCGTCGAGCTGAGAAGACGTCTTGTGAACTCTCGCGCGTTGCTACGTGTATCTCTGTTTATCGTAAAAGTGGTTATAAAAGTTAAATCTGTAAAGAAATAATAAAATTGAACTTAAAATGTTTCGTTCTGAGTGAGTTCTGAGTGGTCTGAGTGAGTTCGTGTAACTCAGAATGACAATGTCTACATATCGAGCTGAAACTCCCGTCTTCAGTAAGTATTTTTATATTTTATAAGCATGTTTATATCTTCTGTTTGGCACCCCTGGAAAGGCACCAACACCGTATCGCCTTTCATGGGCTTTGGTTTTCAAAGGAAGAATAGGAGGCCTGCCCAAACTACATCTTCCGAGCCGTGGTCGCCACTTTAACTTTTCTGCTCCAACGGCCATCAGCTCTACGAGCTATGTTCCCTGTCCACTGCCACTTGAGTTTAGCAATTCTGTGACTACATCGGTCACATTGGTTTTCCTGCGGATCTCCTCATTTCTGATTCGAT